ACTTACCCAACCTCATGAATTGCGACTTGGCAGGGTTGATCGGAAGGTTAACCTCTGCAGATCCCAACCAAGAGTCAGCACAGGGGCGGGACGCTGCCAATCTTGGAGAAATTTGCATTTAGAGGGTGTAAAGCATAGCCCGAAACGACTGACAGCCGGTGCTGCATGTCACGTTTGAGAATTGTCAAAGATTAGTGCAATGTCATGGGCATATTCCTATTCACGAAGTCGATCACCTGGAAGTAGCTACACACCCTCTAGGTCGTGTCCAGTGAATGCCATTTCCATGACTACGTCGATGGTGAAGTTAAATAAGAATGGTGACAGCGGGCATCTTTCTCTCGGATTATTGAGGATATTAAGGGGTGGCGACAGATTGTTGTAGGCCCACATTCTGCCTGAACCATGCGCGTAAAGCGTTTTAAGTATTTTTCGGGCACACTTCTACTGGGCAGACAGATTCAAAAGGCACCGTTGATGTCGAGGAACATGACTATGGTAAGTCGCAAATAAATATGGTGGTGTACAGACAATTGGCGTAAGATGGAGATGTAGTCAGTACAGCCTCGATTTCGATGAAACCCAGCTAGCACCCTGCGAATATGATTTTACCGAGTGTCAGCCAGTCTAGGGCAGAGGTAAGTAACTTAGGGGTAATTAAGATCAGACTGATCCCTCCGTGGTTGCCGTAATCCGAAAGTGAATCACTTATGAAAAGTGGGACCAAAACGAGGAGGCTCCAGTCTACTGGGACAGTTTCCGCCCCCACAGCTGCATAAGTAAGTTGCGCAGGTCCCTCAAATTTGTAAAAAGCTGGAGGAAGTCTAGCTGCCCCTGCGAACTTGTTCAATGCAAAAAGTCCGATAGATTCGACTAGCGCGCGTGAGGGTGGGTCAAAGAGGACGGTCCAAGGAGTAGGACGATCAGTGGCTCAAAAGGAAGATGACAAGTCTGGCTGACTAAACTGCCTGTCGACCCAACGCTCCAAGCGTTTTGACAAGTTGTAAATCAGCTGTCCACTCTAGTCGCATATAATCTCGCTTATACCAGATCAGCTACTGTCCGTATCCTATGGTTACCAAGGGCAGCGGCTGTCCCCATCTCCGATGTACGATGAGTGCACCAGGCTTCGCAGTCACTCTTCAGGCTACCAAGCAGTTTTGCCGAGGCTTCCAGCCGGAATGTGTCGGCGAGCGTTTCAAAGGCTGCGTACAGACCCAATGTCTACGTTGACGATTTGATTTGCCACATGAAAACATGCCTGCTGCTAACGTCTAGCAGATCTGACCAGTGATCTTCAACTCGGTTCAGCGACCGTTTACTCAATCTGCATGCTAGCATACTTTGATATGCATTCAGAACATCTGGTTTCGCCAGTTGTTTGGTGTCTATACACTCACAGCGCTGTAGGGGACGTTCGTCAAAACATACCTGCAGGTCGGCACATACGAGTGTGTGGTCGGTGTCAACGCCCGTGTTCCAAACTGAGCGGCAGTTTTAAACGCAAGCTCTCCAAGGTAACTGATCGCAATGTGATCAGCTTGCGTCTATGGCTGCTGGGGAAAGCAGTTCATAAATTTAACTACCTGGGCAGCCTGCACGTAGCCTTAAAGATCATAAGCCTGCCGAGGGCACCAGTTAGAGCCTGTGTATGGACCGGGTGACCGTCGCGGTATCCTGAATTCCCGTGCGATCGGTAGTGGTTGCGCTGGAGCGAAGCGTCAGTACTGTGTATCGGTGTAGTGCTAATGCTTCTCTCAGGTATACCAGCGCCTGCTGAGTAAAAGATGAAGTGGCAAATCGTATAGCCAAACGTCGCGGTGCTTTTGCCAACTGATTTAATCATTTAGTGGGACTGTGCCTCGCACCGTCGAGGTACTTGTGTGTGACAACACTCCTATCCTGAAGGATAGATTCCACAGTGCAGCCGTCTAACACTACTGTAGGGTTGAGAAATCTGGCCTATCAAAGCGATAGACATACAATTAGTTGCGTCCGATCCCCGGTGCCTCCCCAGTCTGAGTCATGTCGGCTAGGAATACCACGCGGACTATGAATGTACTTGGTGTATGAGGAACAAGTAAACCGCTCAGCACCGTTATTCCACACACCAGGCCCTCTTCCAACCGCGATCTCATTCAAGCTACATATTAACGCAAAGATAAGTTAATTGTTTTCTTGGTGCTGTTTGTATTTCTCGCTCTTAGTACTGCGTTTTACTGGAGAGTAACAGGCGAGGTGGTTCTTACCTCTAGGCAATGTGTAATGATGATTGCTTTCAAAATGTATAAAAGATGACAGCTACCCACAAAGTTCACCTTAATATTATCCGAGCTGCAGCTGGCTGAGAGATAAATAGGCAACCAGTCCCCAAGCAGCGTTTATTAACCTCGATGATGGTCCGAATTCGAAGCGCAGAGGTAATTATTTATCGGTATCAGATCAAGATGACCGTCGGCGTGACTTACGAGGGTAATACCAACGCTACAAATGCCAAGAGTCATCGACTGAGAATGAAGTACTCAGAGATTTGTCACGAGAATGTTGAAAGCGCACTGCGCAACAGCAGGTGTGATAGTGCTTTTTGCTGACTAACACGAAATGGAGTTCAGAAGCAACGTGAAATGAAATACTCTGTCTAAAGTATGAACAAGATACAAAAAGGCATCAGGATGCCGGTACGCAATACCGATGCTTCGTTGCCGCGCGACCGTCATCAGTCGCGCGTGGGTAGTTACTGCGAGGGTTGATTAGTCTCCTACGCAGGCTTGAACCCGTTTGAAGCCCTCGAGCAGCAAGCGACAAATCAAGCTTGTGTATAAAATAATCGCTGTTTACTGCTACGCTTCAGATTCCTAAAATGCCATCAAGGCGTTGTCTTAGTTAGGAGCCCAGTGGTGGTTATAAAAATGTTTTGTTCTGGAATGGAATAAGCTGTAAAGCATGTCGAGCATGGAGTCTTGAACTGTCACGAAACGTCACTCCGTGGAACCACAATCGGGTAAGTAGTGTGCCTCATGATAACAAGTATCAAGCTAAAGGATTGAAACCGGAGTACATAAAAGGAACTGGATGCTCGAAAATTTAGACAAATTCTAACTACGTGAAGACATTTGTGGGCCTGCAGTTCGGTAGCATTCTCATACCTATTAGGTCAAGCACAAGAGACAACAAAGGTACTGGATTTCACAGTAACTTACATAAATATGCACGTTAGCTAGAGATGAAAAACACCGGCTATTAGGCTACAATACGGAAAAAACGGGCAACGAAGGCACGCCGACTGAGTCACAAGTAACGGAGAGCCAACAGCTGACTATCGCGCCAAAGGTTACATTATGCCTAGTAAAGAAGATAGTGATTGGAGGAGGCTAAGCTAAAGGGAGAGTGACAAAGAAACTCATAACACAAACGGCACTGAGGTCGGATCCTAGCTATGTCAGCAAGTGTATCCAATCAAATATGTTCGTCCTTCTTCAGACCCCAAACAGGGAGTAAAGGCTCTAACCGAAGTCAACTTCGAAGTAAGGGCCTCAATTTCTCTCGACCAAGTCATCGACTGACAACTTCTTCTCTTCTTCTATTCACACCCCCGGACGAGCAAACGACGCAAGTCGCGAGTCGGTGGGCTGGCACGCACAATACGTGACCCAACCATCGGAGCCCAGTGGGTGCTGAGCGGTCCATTCACCCTTCCTGTACCAAACACGCGACACCGAACACGCTAATTCTTCACACGATGTTCCCACCAGATATCAGAAAAACTGCGAAGGCACAGGTTGTTGAACGTAACAAGCTTCTGTATGTCTGTATGAATCTAGTGGACCAGGTTCACAACCGTAAACCACGGTCGAACGTACAGCTGCATTTTAAGCTCTACCCTTCAGAGCGAAAGAGATGTCGCGCCGGCGTCTTAGATGGCGCAGGTAAGCAAAACCGTCACGTGCATTTGCTGTACAGTTTGTGACCTCGTATTTAATTCCAACCGCGTTGATACAACTGCCTAAGTAGTTAAATTTTCGAACGACTTCTAGCTGATGCCAAGCAAACGTCAGCACAGGAGACCGTCCATGCTAATGTTGTAAGAAAGCTTTGCATTGTGAGGGTGAAAGCACAGGCAATACGACAGACTACTAATCTGTTCAATACCACCCGGAGCGTTTGTGAGCTGTTACATATGAGGGCAATGTAGTCAGAACACTACAAGTCAAGTTGTTCACCTGGGAGCAGCTCCACACCTAAGTCGCGTCCAATGAACGCAATTTCTATGGTTTTGTCAGCAGCGAAGTTGAAGAGAAAAGCTGACGCCAGTCATCCATGTCTTACATTGCTGGAGATAGTGAAGGGCGGCGACAGGTTGCCGTAAGCCCACATTCCGCCTAAGCTACACGCCGAAAGCACCAAGACAATATTTGCCTATTTCTTGGGCACACATTTCCTGAGTACTGCATGTTTTATGTGGGAGATAAAAGCACTTTGCGTTGCAGTTAGTGGACAAACCACATGTATGAAAGATGCTCTTACAAGTAAATGTTTCAATATACCACAATACAGACGACCAGATAATGATCACCGAGCTTAACCGTAACGCAAATAAGGTTTGCTATGGTGCTGCCTTTAGACCTTAGCAATTTCGTTCATTCTGATTAACTGTCACAGTACTTTAATATTTGCTCAACTGCTCTACATCAGTCAGCACTATAGGTAGTAATTTCCTTTTTCATCCATTCTATTAGTTTCGGTGATTGTGTCCCTTTACATGTCTCAATGATGGTTGTGATCGGCAATAGCAATTTTCAGACACAGGGGCTAAAGCACGTATTCATGCTGACGAGTACCAAGTATTGCTGAAAACTGATAAACTTGGTTTTGGGAGTTTAATTCACGTCAAACGGGATAAACCGAGAAAAAGATGAACGAAATCATGCTGAGTAATTCATGGAAGTTGGTAGAAGATTTAAGGACACAGCAGTATTAAGGTTAGGAGAAGCGAAACATACCTGTAGGCTTTTCTAGCTTGATTTAGATCTTTTATCGCGAGGCAGGCGGCACCTTTCCGTAGGTAACCTTTGATGAAGTTTGGATCCAACTCAATACAAGTGTTGCAATCCTTTATAGCAAGATGAAACTCCATCAGCTTAGTGTAGCACGCCGCCCTGTTGCTGTACAGCTTGGCGTCGTCTGGGTTCCGCTTGATTGCCTCAGAATAATGTTTAAGAGCAGTCGGATAATCCCCTTGTTGAAAGCATTCGTTGCCTTTGTTCTTCGCGGACTCCGCCAGCTCTGGGTTTATGTAAGCAAGCCTCTCTTTCTCCTTAAGTAGCTTATCAACTTCCCTTGATTTCTTCTCGATATCGGGTTGGCGGCACTCTGATAAGGATTTATCGTAGTACTTTTTAGCATTAGCCAAGTCGTCTTTCTTCCAGTAACTCAAAGCGATCCGTGCGAGCGCTTTGGCGATTAGCTTGTACTCTGCTCTGTTTTCACGACCGACTTCAACAGCGTGCTCGCAAATCTCGATGCACTTATCAAAATCACCCATCTCAAAATAGACAGCAGCTTTATTTGTATAATACGTGATACAGTTGGGATCTAGTTCAATCGCTTTGTTGTAATGCATCAATGCTTCATCGAAGCACTTTTGTTTGTAAGCCTCATTCCCCAGCTCCTTCTCGGCAACGGCATCCGGAACGGCCATAGCGAAAACGGCGAGACTGCTGCCCAAGACTAGAAGGTCCAGAAACAATTGCCGTGTTAAAACCAATGAAACTGGCGCAACAATTGAGCATAATATACGAGATGGTACAGAATAAAAATGTACTTTGCAAAATTCCGCGGTGCTTTATTTTGTTCAGAGAGTACTTTTGCTTGCTGAAACTTGCAGCGCGTCATTCAAATTTATTTGCGGCTAGAACTAGAAAACCTAAGAGGGATTCACATGGAACGATTCCATGAGCCGAGAATTAGTGAGTTGCGTAAAGACTTCCTGAAGCTAAAAGGTAAACACCTAAACTTTGGTTTTCATTACGTTGCAGCAAACTGAGCTTTTGACCGTGCTGTTGCTTGGATAGTTTACATTCGAATGATGTTTTCGTGACATTGTTTGCACTAGTGCAGCGAAAATTATTTGACTTTCGTCCAAGTTTGCTTAATTCTACAACTTTTGAATCATTGTGTTCACAGGCTATCTCGGACCGGTTCTCAGGTATTTAGTAAAAGTTCTCCATCATTTTCTGCAGACAGCCTCGAGTTAATTTTGGTACTTTTGAGTTTTCTAATCGATTCGAAACCTAATACAACCAGTAACGGTTTCTGTTGACCGCCCTGCATGCACAGCCCGTCGGTTTTATTTCGTAACCACTTGTTTCACACAGTTTTTGCAATCGACCTTCCGGATGCAAAGAAAACTGGCGACGTAGACTTCGGCTGCATTGAACAGCAAAGACGCTGCTGTCTGTGACAGTTTAAGCTAGCCGTAGCTCATTTTGAAGGCGTATGGTGTCATATAGTGCTATGGAATCAAATTCTGGTACCATGTGTCCTGTATAGACTTGAGCTATGACCGGTACGCCATGCTGTCGAATAGCGATACAATAGAGTTCAAGTTCACTGCATAAGTTCAAGTTCAAGCGGGACTGGAACGATAGGATAGATCCCGTGAGTGTTCCTTCTTCGGCGGGTCGTTGAACCAGGAGTTGGCGAAGTTTGAAGTACTGATGGACCTAAAACAAAGACCGCATCACACCCTGTCCAACCAATTAATGCCCACGTATCCTGCCCTAGCAGTCCCTGCTGGGTCGGTTACGTGAAGTAAGAAAGAGAAAAAAGTAAACGCAGGAGGCAAAAGAGAAAGTGGTAAGAGCTAAGCAAGTGGAATACCAAGATATTTGAGTCAATAAAAAAAGAACTGAAAAGTGAAGGTGAGTCAGCTAGGAAAAAGGAAAGGTTTGCTGTTGCCACCCAAGAGCATCGAGCTGGCGACCAAAACCCTTAACCGTAGGTTCCCTAACCACGTGATCTGGAAGAGAATTCCAGCGATCTATAACTCGGCGCGATAGACGAGTTTCCGTCCTAATCCCATCAGACCGTGGTTTATGCAGTTTCAGTGGGTGACCGTGGAGATTAGGTAACGTAGCGGGACTAAAAAGCCCTGAGAAGTCCGGCCCAATCTTACCCGTAAGAATACGATAAGTGAGAATCAGGTCCCCTCTAATCCTTCGGTAGTGCATGGAGTACATACCCAAACTGAGCAAGCGTTCAGGATACGTCTGTCCCCGTAGACCCTGCACTAACCGAGTGCCCACTCGTAACATCCTCTCCAAGTCCATTTTGTCTCGGTTAAGACATGGTGGACAAGCCTGAATACAATATTCCAGGTGGGGTCGGACGAATGCCGAAAATAGCTTCACAAACAACTTGGCCGTTAAGATTCCGAAAGAGCGGCGGATAAACCACATCATACGAAACCCTCGACAAGCAGCCTTCTTCCAGTTGTCTCCAGAATGAAGTGCTGATGCGTGTACGACTCCTAAATCAACCTGCTGAGTGACAACTGGGAGTTCACCACCGCCGAGAACATATCGGGTGGGAGGATTTGCAGCTCCGATTCGGAGGACAGAGCACTTGGCCCTATTTATGGGCATCAACCATAAGATAAACCATTCCCAGAGTCTATCCAAGGCACGCTGAATTGCCTCAGGACCCCCCGGTGTCTTGTTGTCCCATATAAAGCACCGAGCAACGTTGGCATAGTTAACCAGCAAATTTGGTCGTACAGTTGCTGGTGATGAAACCGGGATACAATATCGATGTCGGCTCATTGGAAGGCGCAAAGCAGGCGATCTCAACGGCTGTCTATGCGATTCACCTGTGGTGAGGGCTATCGATCGAATGAGCCATTTAAGTAGTATACCCTTAACGAGGCTTCTGACAACTTACTGGGCGCCGACCTTATAAGACCTAAACCCAATAAAAGTAGGAGGAAAAGGATTACTAATTTCTTTATGCCCCTCGGAAAAGACGAAGGAACCCTGGTTAGGAATATGCTTGGGTAGAGTACAAAGCTCCAACCCAACTTACTTCAGCTCACTTGGTGAATCCACGTCCCATGTTACCATACGGATTCCGTCCGGATTCCACAAAAGGCTATGTCGATGCATAGCTGCCGTAACCGGGAAGTCCTGACGCCGGAAGGCCGACCGCTGTCATCCGCATGGCAGGTGCCTGCATGGCAGTTGCGTGCATGGCAGTGGAGGATGTGTCGGGCTATATCGCATTTGGCTAAAAAAACTCATGATAGTCAGATACCGTCCTCCATGGCGCAGTTGCATAAGCTGCGGGCTAGTTGGCGAGAGCCACTAGCAGTCATGGGTTCGATCCTCCGCAGAGGACCGAAGGATGCGCACCACTGATGAGCCCCAATAGGGCGAAACGGCCGTCTGGTGCTTTTCCGGATGGCTGGTCGACATATCTGAATTGTCGGCTGATTGCGACGAACAAAATACTCACCAAAATCCTTCCATTCACAAGTGACTCTAATGTTTGCAGCAGCTTTAGCTTCCGTAACGTTGTGGAAGCTGGGGCAGCTACTTTCAGGAAATCCATGCTGGATCACCGCAGTGCTCTATGCTCTGCAGCAGTAAGGCGTTTCCACCTGCTTTTCATTGTGCAACTATCCGAAATATAACCACACTGGGAAACGTCCGTATCAGTATACCAAATGCACAACCCCAACTACTTCGTGTTGTCATCTTAACCCCGAGGGAACACAAAATGTTACTGCGCTTCACATTCAACCTCAACGGCGGCAACGTCAGTCTTCAGCCGGAACTCGTACTGGCATAATGAATTTAACGGAAGCAGTCAAGTAACCTAAAAACCAGCGAGCGATCGCTGAGAAAGGCCTACCTCTTATGCGTTTTCTGGTGGTCAGATGGAGGTCATATTCTGCCTTGCTGGAAGCCATCCTGTCAGCGCAAGGTCTATCTTTGGTCTTGTCGAGTTCCTTCAGTTAGTATACAGCAACCTGTGGAGCCTAAGGAACAAGGTGCAAGAGATGGGTCTACTTGCAGCCACATCTCATCTCTATATACTTGCATTTACTGAAACGCGGATGTCCCCGGATATTTCAAACAATGAATTACGTTTACCTGGCTACGCGCTCCTTAGGTGTGATTGTTCTGTTGTTCGTCAAGGTAGGGACATTGCTGTTATGTGTGGTGAAAACTGGACGTGTTGAGGAATGCACTATGCAGTCTCTGTATCAAACTGTTGTAGCCCCATGGAAGATTGTGTACACTTCTTCCAAACAGTTTATTATTGTAGTGGTATGTCGACGTCCATGGACCACCTCCAAGAGGGCTATTGTGTTTATCCATTCTCAACCTGGTAATAGAGGTCTAGTACTTGAGGATTTCTACCCTGTAACCTTTTGGGTTCATTTAACGTCCAGTTGGGCGATAGGCACTTTCGGTTTGGATCTACTGTAGCTAAATTAGAAACTGCCCGTGCATCCGTTCGTGGACATCCCGACCCTATACATCAGCAACCTGCCTCGGCCAGCCCCGGAGCTTACTTTACGAACGCACACGCTATCGTAAATGATAGCACCTAGGCTCTCTAGGAGCCGGTGACTAAGTCTGCGTAAACGGTTAATGTGCTCAATGTAAGTGCCACCAGGCCGTTCACATTTTACAAATCTTATTGCCATCTTCTTCAGCACAAATTAATATTTAAGTATCCTTGCTAGAAAATTAGTGGTGTGTCAAATTTGTCCCTGTCTCACTATCTAGTTGGACATCCAAGACATTTGACTCATCACTTCGTCTTGCCTTGCCATCTAGAGCAATCCTCTTTTATCCGGCTCTAATGCTCACTATGCACATGCCATAGCTCAGGCTCAGTGTTTAGCGGACACTACCTAATTTTCAACAAACCAACACGGCGTGTACTATTATTTGTTTACTCTGCCTGGAGTGATACAACGGCCTCGTTTAAAAGAATGGCAAAGGTGATAACGATTCAAGCCCATAATCCTCATTGGATATCGGAATATAGCTCATGCTCGCATACTCTACAGGTCTATGAAAGAGCAAAATACTGCACAACAACAGTAGTAATTCAAATACTACAATCATCAGAGTAATGCGGCTAAACCATCCATATGTACGGAACCTACCCCGGCGGCTCCGTAGGCTTCCAGAACCGACCTACAAGTGTTCGCGCTTAGTGGAACACTGTTTTCATAAGCCATTTATTACTATCTGTTCGGTACTTAGCTCTAGCGTATGTATAAGGTCTGTGGACTAGCTTTGTCTCAGTAACTACATGCAATACAACCATGTTGATGAATCTTGCTGCAGGTTTCTTAGGAAACTCGTCGGCTGTGTTCGTTAGCTTAATAAGTTTCAGGTCTAACGCAAGCAACGCTGTGGTTTGTAGTTAATGCGAATGTGGTTCTACACTGGACTTCCTACCCTTGGTTCGACTATGCAGCAATATTTATTCACATTTATATAAGTTTACTTTCGTTACAGCTGCGTTAACTGCTGCCCAATTATCCGCAAACTAATGCATGGTACGCCGTCGCCATAGCAAGTATCATCGTCTGTTGCTTTTGCTTTGTGCTTTTACTTTCATTTCTCCTTATTTTCCCACTGGACTTCCTTTTACCAATTTTTAGCGCTGTTAGCCTTTTTGACGCAAGGTTTAACTGTGATTATCGCCGCCCGGTTGCGCTCCCGTT